ATCTTAGGGATTTCCCTTGTGGTGGCTCTTTAAAGGAGCCTTCCTCTTTTTTCCCTTCCCTTGCTCAATGGCTAAAATAGGGGCAGCGGGTGGAGTGGGAGTTGGTGCAATAGATTTGTCCTTGAGGTTGCTCTCAGCAGTCCTTAGGAGTCCTTGGAGTTTGCTTAGGGTGACTTCTTCTTTGTTCATGTGGTAGGTCATCCTAAATTGGTTGTAGCACGAGGGCAAGGAGTGGAGAATGATGTCGATAGCCAAGTCTTCCCCAAAGTTAACATTTAACTTGCGAAGATGATCAACATACCTTTGCATCTTTTGCAAATGCGAGGTTAGGGAGTCTCCACTTCTCATCTTAGCGGTGATCATGTTGGTGATGATCTCGTAGTGCTCTTGCCTTGCGCTTTGGTGGTACCTCTCTAGCAAATCTTTGTGCATTTCATAGGGATACATGTCCTAATAGGACTTTTGGAGTTCAAGATTTATAGTGACCAACATAATGCAATGGACTTTCGTTGCATCTTGCTCATGGGTCTCAAAGACGGCCATTTCTTCAGGAGTAGCGATTTCCGGATTGATCTTTTCAAGCTTCTCATCGAGGACATATTCTTTGTCCTCGTAGCGGGCAATCATGCAAATGTATCTTATCCATTCATTGAAATTCGATCCGTTGAATGTCACCTTTTGACATAGGCTCATTAGCGAGAATGAACCAGCAGCAGCGTTGTTTGCGTTTACGTTAGACATCTACAAATAGAAAGGAATAAAGTTTGATTAGAATTGAATCTCTAGTTAAACACCCAAAATGAGAAATTAAGGCTAGGATCAAACAACATTATTTACACATTAGAAAAGGGATGCCGTAATCCAACATGCAAATAGTAAGTGAATGACGATTCACTAATTCTTCACCATGAAAAACATAAGGCTTAGGTTTTAATGTATTGAGAATTCCTAGATATCTTGAGATTCATTGAACTTTTCAATGGCATGTTTAAATCTTGATATTCCCCTCTTATTTGTGACTGGGATGCCGAGGATCACAAAGCGGGTGTGAATAACCATGGAAATATACATGGTGCCCTCATTGTTACAGTCACCTATTCGATGTGCCGGTTAACCACACACGCTCCATCGAACTATGACAAACAATGAGTCACCCTTTGCCACCTTTGCTTAGAACCAATTAGTGTGTCGGTTAACGACACACGCTCCATTAGCTTCTTAGCAAGGGTGCAAAGTGTAATTTCATGTGATTGCATCAATTCACTTTTGCCTAAAGTAACTAGGATTGGAAATTTTGTAAAACATTCAGTTACTTTATACAATTTCATTATACTTATTAATGAAGAGAGGATTGCCCTATCCTACCCGTTCGGCTAACGACCCTCCACCAATCAAGGAAGCGGTGGGTAAGAGTGGATACCCATTAAACAACTATTTTATAGGCCATAACCTTATACCCCCTCCCCCCTTTTAGACCAACTTTGTGAATGAGGCCTACTAACGGTAAGACTAGCATTTTAGTTATACACACACACACACACACACACACACATATATATATATATATATATATATATATATATTAATCTTGTAATAATATAATACTATAGGGTGTATTTTAAACATTTTAAAAATACTAGGGTTTTAATCTCAATTTAAAATTTAAAATATTAAAACTCTTGATTTAATAATTATCTAAATTAAACAATTAATTATAATTACTAAATCATAAAGGATTATTATAAATTAAACAATTAATTTTATCCTAATCCCTTATATCCCTCTAAATTTCGAAAATTAGGGAGGGGATAATTCAAAATCTCTAATTACCATATTTAACAATTAAAAGATAATTACAAAATATGGGATTATCCAAATCCCTGGATTTTAGGGACTTATCTTGGGGAGGAGGCAAATCTTGAAAATCTAGGGTTTGCAAACCCAAGATCTCGAAATCTTGCGCAACAAGGAAAAGGGTTTGGAAACACTTCAAAATTTCGAACACAAGGGTTCAAGAAACCTAAAATAGAAATCCTAGCCTCCTAGGGTTTATTGGCCATAAACCCTAAAGTGTCAAATTCAATCAATTGTATAATACTAATTGAAAACAATTCAACCAAAGGCTCTGATATTACTGATGGTTTTTTGTACAAACAATCATATGTGTGCATGCAACCCTAGATTTGGATCTATGTTTTCTCTATTAGATACACAACCTTATGAACACAATAAGAACCCTAGCAAGCAAGTATATATTTTGAAATTTATATAGAAGAGTAGATCACATACCTCTTGTTGTTATATTTCAATAACACTAATCTTCAATCTCTTAGTCTTGAAAGCAAGTACCACAAGTGTAGTACCTCTAATGGCTCACAAACACCACAAGCAATTGGAGAGGCAAAAGAGAGAGAGGAGAGAGGATGAAATCAGCTCTAGGAACCCTAGGGAACAAGTGGCCGATTTCCTTAGCCGTAGGGGTCTTTATATAGGGTATAGATTAGGGTTTCAATCCTTATCCTTATCTAATTGCTTGCCCACCAAGTAACCATAAGATAAGCCTTGAAAGCCTTATCCTTGGACGATTTCAAGGACCCTTATCCCTTGAATTCTTCCAACCTATCTCTAGGGTAACCATTGCCCTACTTTGCAACTATCATATAATTACAATTCAACCCCTGCAGTTTAATTAATTACATTTGATCACAAAATTAATTCATAATTAATTATTGACCAATATTAATTAAACAAATATGATTTGTCCTATTAATATATTATTCCTATAATATATTAATAAATCATAATAACCTCTTTCTCTATTATTTCTCCAATCAAGTTGCTTTGGTGAAGGCAACCCAAAAGGACCATGCACAACCAAGTCAAGTACTTACCAAATATGGTTACAGGCTTAGACATTAATCCAACATAAACATCTATCAAGATCCCATTTTTATGCTTCTAAACAACCAAAGGACCTTAGATCTGTCATCCTCATCTTATGGAGTTGCTTAAGTCACCAAAAGATGTCCAAAACCAACCAAATGGGCAAAACTAGAAAACTCTAGCTAGATCTAAGGATTTAGATGGAAAGGTGCAAGATTTTTACCTACAAAAGCTTTGTAAGGTGAGTTTGGTGTAGGATCTTGAAGCACCTAGACGATCCAAGCTTGCTTGACCACTTCTTAATCTTGAAATGAACAGTAAAAGGTCACAAATACATTCTTTTATGCTCAAGAATAATCTCACAAGGTTCTTTGGGGGTACATAGACGCTCTAGGGCTATGGAGGCTCTCTGGGGTTAAGTCCAAGGGACTTAAGATCGTTTAAGCAAGCCTCATATCCGAAGATTAGGGTTTTGCCTATCTGATGTGTATGCTTGGCATACTCTTACATATGCGCAACATACATGAGGCTCCTCCGCGATCAATTATGTATAGTACGCTAAGCGTACTACTAGGTACGCCCAACATACTCTAGGGACCAAATATGCTCATAAATGAAATATTGAGGGTTTCCAAGACATACCAGATTAGTGTGTTACAAAAACCCAGACCGACCTCAATCGACTTCTTCTTGATGTCAAAGAAGTTCCTCAAGATGAGAAAGACAAACTGTAGAGCAACATCAAAGCAATGAGAATTATTAGACTCACATTGTAGGTTGATACGTTTCATCGTGTTAGTACTTGTGATACTGCCAAAGCCATATGGGACAGGCTCAAAGAGCTTTATTCAACAGACATAGATCTGGAGCATTCTAATCAAACGCTCTTGTTGTCTGAATTTGGTGTGTTTGTACAAAAGGTTGATGAAAAGCTGATTCAAACATTCAATCGTTTCAATCATCTTTTAAGCATAATGATGAAGCATGGGATTGGAAGAGAAGTCATCGATCAGAAGGTAACATTCATGAATGGACTATGTTCAGAGTGGATGGCAGTGGTATCGACAGTGAAAGCCCACGAACAGTTCAAAAACCATACCTTAGCAAAGGTGGTAGGAATCTTGAAGTCACACGAAAGTGAAGTTACTAAAGAAACGAAAGTTGTGTCAGACATGGGTTCATTGGCTCTGGTTGCAAAGGGAAAGCAAGTTGATGAGGATGATGCTGAGTCTAACCTTTCTGACTGCAAACTCACAAATGAATAGTATGCTTTAATGGTGTCAAACCCTAGGAGATTCGTAAAGAAAACAGTTTCCTTCCAAAAACCAAAATTGGCAGGGAAGCTATAGTTTAGAAAAGGTGAAAGAGAATAAAGTGAACAACTTCCAGAAGGAAGAATATATTAAAGGGAAAAATGTGGTAGATGATTCAGGATATGATTGCAACTATTGTCATGGTAAGAATCATTTAGAAAAAGATTGCATGCTAAGGAGAATGAACAAGAAGAAGAAGGGAGAGGATGATGAGGCGTACCATCTTCCTAAGCTGGAGGAAGTCAAACATAAAAAGAAATCTGATAATGATATGCCTGTTCTGGTGGTGCATGGAAATAATGATGAAAACGAGTTTGGTGGAGTGGAAGTATGGTCCACTAATTCAAAAGATGAAGAAGTCAGAAAACTCATTCATGGAAAGTGCTTGGAGGAAAAAGAAGGAGATTTGCATGTGAGTGGAAGATGCTTTGTGGTGACAAATGGTGTGTCACAAATGCTAGGGTACACAACAGATGATGGAAAGGGAGATGCTGATGAACGAAAGGATGTCAACTGCATCGCTGCAAAGCCAATTCTTACACATATCAGTGAATGTGGAATGCTCTATTCACTAATCTGTTAAAAGGGTTTTCAGAAAGAATTACGGGGTTAGACTCTGCATGTAAGTTGTTCATGACTCTTATTTATGGCCTCTACACATGAATAAATATTGACTTTGGATCCATTCTATAAGCTCAAGTGATTTAAAGCACTATCTCAACAACTCGTCACACTAAGATTTCTTGTGCATGATTATGGTCCATGATTGTTCACAGGGCTATTGTTAAGCATAACATCCTACTAATGAAGTATGCTCTCACCTTCTCAGTTTCTACTTTTCATACAACAGGGATAATCGTTGTTGATGCCTCAAATTTCTCCTTCATTGGTTCTATTCCAGAGGTAATGTTTTGGGATGTTCCTGCATCCAGCAAGATTTTGGAAGGGTTTTGCAAGGTTACACCTTTAGGGTTTCATCAGCTAACTCCAAAAATGCAAGAAACTATTGATGTTGTTGATAAACCAAATAAAGGAGGCAAGGGATCTAAAAATGTAAAAAGAAGATTGTTGCAAAAGAAGGTCCAACAGGTGCTACAAAACCTTCTCTTAAAAAGAGAAAGGCACCAACAACATCTTCTGCTTCTACTCCGAAAAGAAGGAAACAACTAGCTCACAAACGAAAAACACCTACACCATCAACAATTGAAGGGTCAGAATCTGAGACTGAATCGGATGCTCGAGTTGAAGAAAATCAACCAGTTCGTAATGAGGAGGAAGAGCTTGTTCACAACGAGGACCCAACTACGAACCAAGAGCCTCCAGTTCGCATTGAAAAGGAGACTACGAACCCAGAGGTAAACCAAACTATTAATGACTCTGTTCCTTCTCCTCCTCCTTCACCAAACACAACCTCAACCCCAATCACAATTGCTCCTTGTCCCCCTCCTGTTACCTCATTTCAACCTACAACTATTCATATCTCCACATAAATCTTAATTGATTCAACCACAACACCCCTCACTTCAATGAACCCTAAAGTCATGGTCAACGTATCTGATACAGGGGCTACAACTTCAGTCTTCTCTACCTATGTTTCTTCATCCATCTCTCCCATTCGTAATAGTGATCCATATATGATCTTTGGAGATGATGGTGATGATGGTGATGATGATCTTTGGAGATGATGGTGATGATGATGATGATGATGATCTTGGTGGATTCACCTATAGTCTGTTTCACATCAGGACTAAAAGTGAAGATGAAGCCATAGTTTCCAAAGGACAATTTAAAGCGATTCACGAGAAACTTGACCAACTACAACTTGCCTCCAAGGCTTCCTCCTCTAAAGCCTATTTAAAAGAAATAGTTGAATCATTGTTTGAGCACATAACGAAAGTACATGCTGCGAATGCTGCAAAGATGAATGTTGCAGTATCAGAGACTGCTGATGTTTGCAAGTCTACGACCGAAAAAGTCGATAAACTAATTACTAAAACAACCACCTTCATGGAGAGTTACAGAACGACCTACAACAACAAAACTGCATCCGCAAATGAAGCCCTTCGGAACTTGGGTGCCATGTTCAAAACTGAGAAGATCAACTTGGTGAAGTTTCACACAGGCTTGCAGCAAGACCATGCATCGTTTCATTCTTCCCTCACTTTGTAAATTACAAAGCTTCAGGATGATTTGGCGATGGAAAGTAAAGTTATGGATGTTGTGGCCTAAAAGACAGAGAAGGTCAAAGTGTTAGATCTCGAGCTTCAACAGTCTGAGAAACAGGTCAAGGATTTGCTATCTGAGAGGGTAGTTGTGCGAAGCTGCATTATGGATGTCACCGGTTTGCTTTCAGATATCATTGAGACCATGGACTCAATGATTTCTATTACTGTTCGAAAAGACCTGGCTAAAAAGTTGAGCCCTGTCTTCACCATGTTGTACCGTTTGCAAGGTGTTTCTCCTCAATTATCTGATCCAAAACAAGGGGGAGAAGGTGGATCCAATGTTGAACCTCCCAAAGTCCCTATCAAGTCTATTATTAATAAAGAACCTAAGGGCAAGGAAAATTTAATCGAAGACGAGCCCATAATCGATGATGATGAAGACGAAGAGCTTGTTGATGCTGAACTTAAAAGTCGGAAGGCTCGTGATGTTGAACTGAATGAAACTCAACGAATCGTCAAGGAAGCTGAGGAAAAAAGAAAGGGCAGATAAGGAAGCTCTAACCACTCTCAAAAGTAAAATGTTATTATTTCCAAAGTGGACCCTAAAGAGAATCCAACATGATGCTGTAGAACTTCCCAGTCAGTATTGGTTGGATCCTGTCGCTTCCTTTGATCGTCAAAATTCTCAGGATTTGCAACTCGATCTTCCAATTACTCCGAAAGCATTCAGGTTTCGTGCTTTTATGAAGGTTGCGAATGCTCCTTTCTCGGACAATGGAGCTAATCAACTGTTGTTCTCGATCTACTTGAGGCACATGAAGCCCCAGTACGAAACTTGGAGCATGCACAAGATAGTTGCTGTGAAGGTCACTGGGCCAATCGAGACTGAAAGTTTGCCCAATGCGAAGTTTAAAGTAGCGAGAGGATCAGGTTGCGAAGCCTACGAATTCTCCCTCGCAGACTTGTCTTGTTTGATCCAAATGATTGGATTGTACTTTACAACATGTTGCTGAGAGAGAAGCAGAAGTACGAGCCTGTTATGTCCCATCTCCAACTAATGATCAAATCTTATATTTAAGAAGTTGGATTGATGGATGTGGATATTGCCACTGTTTTGAAGAAGAAGCCGACTGCCGTTCCTAAGGAAGCTCCAAAAGACTCCGAGAAATTAAACCCTTGGAAGATATGCAAGGAAGGATGGTTCGTAGTATATCAGTCCAGAGAACGAACGGAAGTTGAGTTTCGCAAGTCTTAATTCTATCTCGAAGACAAACATTTATACAACATTGTCTGTCTGGAATTTATATTGGACCTGATTACTAAGTTCAAGGGCAACCACAAGGATGACGTCAAATGCTTTTCTGATATGATACTTTGGTATATCCAAGTTCGCAAGATGCTATTGAGATTTATTCCAAAACTCTACGAAGTGCAGGAGCGAATCACTGGATGATGGGCTACAAAATCAATTGACGCAAAGGGGGAGATTGTTGAAGATTTCATTGTTGCGTCATTGGGCTTTTTTGTTAGTCCTTTTTGTAAATGGGCTGGGCCTGTCGTCACGTATTTAATACTAGGGTTAGAGTATATATGGTGCATGATGCATCTTATTTTAGTTAACTATTTTAATGATCTTGTAACCCTACAATGCCTCTACAGTTGAAATTCTTCATCGAGTTCATCTGAGGCGTGACTTTTAATCATTCATCATTTGTTTGATCATCTTTGTGTTCTTAATTTACCTATTTGAATCTTGTCGATCATCTACGATTTTCATCCTATCACTATTCACTTCAAACAATAATAAGATTATTTGCAAAAGAAGTAATCATTAAGTCAAAAAGCTTTGCTAACCTTATGTCAATGGTGGCGTATTGGAATGTGATAATGCAGAGTATTTGAACATGATGCTGTAAACTTGATCTTTCTATAAAAATGTAATAACAGATGAATGAGATTGTAGTTATACATAATTTAAAAAAATGATTTTGGAAAGGATATCAAACTTTGATTTAAAATTATATAGTACTCTAAAATATTAGTTGTGAATGAACCGATATTTGAAATGTTTCTCCAAATTAGCGTGAATTTGAAACGGATTGATCGAAATTTTTGTTTGACAATTAGGAATGTGTATTTGAATTTTATACATTCCTTGCCAAATTACGTGAGAATTTAAGGGGTATTCAGCTTTATTTAAATTTCTTTAAAATTCAGTAAATTTATATTTTTCAGATTAATAAAAAAGCCAAAAAAATCTGAATTTACCGTGGAATTAATGGATATTGAAAAAATTAAAAAACGAATGTCATGTGACATATTAAATAAGACGATGACTAGTGACAACGTTATTTTTTTTTTATTAGGATAGTGAAAACTATATCCCATTTTGTATTTAGTAAATTCCTTCGTCGAAAATGTCATGACACAACTTGTTCTTTATTTACAAATCCTTACTTAGCATTAATTAACAGTATATTAGTGACCCCATAACATGCATCGTGTATTCGTGTTCATAAGCTTAGGTTAAAACACAAGGAATCACTACATGTGTGATGTGTGTCTGTGTATTGGGTTGGGGGCCGCAACTAATATGATATTGTAATATAAACGCGTAGCTAATGGAATCAGTTGAGAGCTGCCTTTTGTTTTTAGCTTTGGGTGGTTCTTCTGGCTCTGAAAAGTTTGTTGACAAACCATGGCCTAGTGGCAAAACATCTAATGGGAGAGTGGGGAAGAAGGACCACAAAACATTTTATTTCTTTTTTTCCAAAGTATAGTCCTGTTTATATGCTACGCTATGGTCAAGTGGAAGAAAGCCTCACATGCCTCTTCCCAATTTTTTTTAAATAAAACTTCAAAAATATCTGTGGTATGTATCTTTTTTAAGGTTTTGATCTAAATTCTAGTTTTTTTTTTTTTTTTTGGATGATGGTCATTGCTTGTGGTTTTTGGTTCTTTAAAAAAATTAAAAACTAAATTACCAAGGATGTATTTATTTTTCTATCATTTCTTAAAAACTAAATTACCCTTGATGTATTCTAAATTCTAACATTGTTAGTATTCAGTCGTCAGAAACTGATTTTTTATTTTTCTATCATTTCTTAAAAACTAAATTACCCTTGATGTATTCTAAATTCTAACATTGTTAGTATTCAACCGTCAGAGACTGAATTAATAGTTGAATCTGTAGATACATTTTCGTTTTTTCAAATATAAAGAGATTGAATTCATGACATCTAATACACCATAAGGATTATTTTTAAAGTTTGTTTGAAAAAGTGAATTAATTGGCTGAATGAAGGAGGAAGATTCAAACTCGCGACCTCCACCCTTTTAATATTACAAAAACCTTAACCAATTGAACTAAATGCTTACTTGGCTATACCATCCTAAAACTAGTTTATATAATAACCAAAACATTAATACATAAAGAATAAATAAATTACAAAAAGCATATTTTTCACATAACTTTTTTTTAAATAAAAACAAAATGTATTTTAGTCGTAAAATAAAAAAATAGTTTTTTAAAAAACAGTTTGTATGTATTTTTATGTACTTATCTTATGTAAAATATTTTTTTTTCATGTCTTCAAAAAAAATATGTTTTCGTATAAAAAAAATATGTTTTCGTAAAATATATTTTTTCATGTTTTTGAAATAATAACTAATGCTACTAATTTCCTTGCTAGGCAGTTTCAACGAGGAAATAATTTCTTAAACTTTACATAAAATAATACTAGATTAGAGATCTGTGGTAACCACTAGTTTATAAGAAAGACGATGAAAGTAGATTGATGAAATAAAAAAGTTTTAAAAATTCAATACTAAACAATATTGAAATATGATTGTCAATATAGGATAATATTGTACTTTAAAAAATAAGACTTAAATGATTCATAATTTTATTTAATTTTATATTTTAGCAAACGATTAAGATGAATGTAAAATAATATGAAAAAAAAACAGTTATTATCTTTTGATGAAAGGAAAAAAAATAAACATCCTATAGATCTAAAAAATAATTAGTTTCTTTAAAAAAATATTTTTTTATTATTTGTGTGGAATTATATCTTTCAAATGTACCAAAAAAATCAATACTTCAAGCACTTAAGTTGTAGCTTTGAAATTCAAGCACTTAAGTTGTAGCTTTGAAATTGGTAGTTCAAAATATGTAAACGCTTTTGAGATACAAAAAAATAAATATTATATTTATTTATAAGAGACAGAGTATGTAAAACATAATGATTAATGATGTCAAAATTTAAATCGTAAATTTGCTTTTAAAATTCAAAATAATAATATTGATATTTTTTTTGAAGTATTAAATGTAACTAAATTTTAAGGATGTCACATGACATCATTACAATCATATATATATATATATATATATATATATATATATATATATATATATATATATATATATAGAGAGAGAGAGAGAGAGAGAGAAAGAAAGAGAAAGAGAGGGAGAGAGAGAGAAAGCTAAGTTCAAATGTTTCTAGCATTTATTGTGTGCATGTATGCACCAATAGGAATTTAGGAATAAATAAATAAATAAATAATCAAAATACGGATAGATATGTAATTTTGCATATAAAAAAATAATAACCAAATTTAAATCTCTTGATTCATGGATCAATCCCCTTAAATCAAGCCATCCGTAACCCTATGCCTACAAGAGGTCATCATATTTTTCACCCAACAACCATCGTCAAAACTCAACGTGGTCATCATCTTCTCTACTACAACCCACCATATAACCCCATTAATCCCCTTCAATTACATCAAGACGGACGCAACTACTTTATACCAAGAAGAAAGGGCACAATACTTTGAACAGTTGGAGATTGGAGAAGAACAGGAGGTTGATTTGGCTTTGTTAATTAAATATAACAACTACAAATGTTTGATTATCAATAAGCTTTTGGTCATGAGGTCTGATTGCGTTATCAATTTTCTTTTTCGTGTAGCTCTAATTGACTTCTATTTCCTTTGTCCCAAAAATGATCTATTGCAAATCATTATTAGTCGTTTTCGTCTAGGTCCGATGTGTACTTAGTTTGTATTTGGGATCATTAATATTTACATCAGCATTGACAGATGCGTCAAGATAAACTCTGAGTTAAACATGCCTTCCATGTGTTTGTTGAAATGTCAGATACGTTGAAATGGTATATGCTTTAAGATATGCTCTTACAGTAACACCATTGGGAAAATGGGTTGTTCTTGAACACCACCCTCACTTTATTAGAATGTATTGGGGTGTTGTAAGCACTGTTTTCTGTGCTGAAATTATTGAATCGACTGATGCTTATATGTTTGCTAAAACTATATTCAAGGATTACAACTCCTTAGGTTACTTTAAAAGTTTAATTTTATGTTTTTCTTAACCACTTTACCAATTTATTGTTTATATATCTTCGTTGAGTTTTTTGTTGATGGATTATGAAACTAGTTTTTATTATAACAAGTTTATTAGAGAATGTTATCATCATATAGTTCGAGTTGATGGAAATTATTCTTATAGAATCAGCAATTTAGGAACACAATAGTTGCTAAAAACACATGAACCTAGCCCGTTCTGATGGCAATTATTCTTAACATTTTTTTATGATTTCTTTTTCTATTTATAAGGATCATGGCCTTTGTTGATACACACCTAGCACCCACATTATTATTCTAACTTCATTAATTGTTTTAGATGAATTTTGGCTTGTTTGATGATAATGTCTAACAAGTGTTTGTTGAAATGTCTGAAAGAGAATCTAAAGAATTCAAACTTGTGGTATGCATTCTGTCAGAATTACTAGCAACACGTGTTTTATGTAATTATTTAAAAAAGTAATTAATTTGTCTGTGTATTATTTTGGTTCAATTTGTGATTTTGAATTCCAATTTGTATTGTCCTTCGTTATTATGTATTTGGAATCTAAAATTATAATAGTAGCAAGGCAATACTCTTGAATGTAATCCATCTATTCTGTCAGAATGTATTCTACCAGAATAAATTATATGCATTCTGCCAGAATGTATTCTATGTATTCTGTCATATTCTATGTGTTCTACCAGAATATATAATGTGATAGTTAATTGCAAATAACATGTTTTTAACACTTATTAGTTTTTGTTGTCTTTGTGATAGGAATGGTTGGAAGAATGTGTTGAAAACCTAATAGGAGTAACTTGAAGAATGAATAAAGTTTGAACATACTCACAATTTAAGAATGTTGTTATTTTTTAAGAATTTTTGTT